TGGGGGATCCTAGGCAGGGGCTCTACCACTGAGCCACGCCCCCAGCCCCTCACTGGGGGATTCTAGGCAGGGGCTCTAACACTGAGCCACGCCCCCAGCCCCTCACTGGGGGATCCTAGGCAGGGGCTCTACCACTGAGCCACGCCCCCAGCCCCTCACTGGGGGATTCTAGGCAGGGGCTCTAACACTGAGCCACGCCCCCAGCCCTCACTGGAAGATTCAAGGCAGGGGCTCTAACACTGACCTACATTGTCAGTTTAATTTTCTTTTTACAGGGTCTCATGCAGCCAGGTAGCCTCAAAATTACTCTGCAGGCCAGGCAGGGCTTGAATTTGCAAATCTTCTGCCTCAGCATGCAGAACAGCTGGGCTGACAGGCCTCTCAAGTCTTTTAATATGCTCCCATGGCCATCATGATAACAGAAAGGCAAAACATTCTTATCACTTCCCGAGGTTTCTCTGTACCCCTTTCAAATACACCGTTCTTCCACCCTGTCCCCAGCTGAGCCCTGGCCGGCTTCCGATTACTGTAGATGACTTTGTAACTCATCTGTTCCAGAATTTTATGTAGATAGATCCAAACAGTTATAAAGAAAACAACATTTTTGGAAGCAGATAGATAACCTAGTCCCTAATCTGAAATCTATCAGCTCTCTGGCCCATCTGCTTATTTGCAAAATATAGATCAAAATTGTCCTCGGCCCCTTGGAATGCTATAAAGATCAAACTGCTCCGTGGATATAAAGTACTTAGAAAAATCCTCAGTACACAAGTGGCGCTTTACAGAATAAACAAGAATAAGGGACTGGAGAGATGGCTCAGGGCTACAGAGCAAGTAATGTCTTCCCTGAGGGCCCCATTCAGCTCCCAACACCCGCCATGTGGCTGACAACCAGGCAGACACATGACACACATACATACGCACAGGCAAAACACTCATACATAATTTTTGTTGTTGATATTTTACTTTCCGAGACAGGGTTTCTCTGTATAGCCCTGACTATCCTAGATGGAACTCACCCTGTAGACCAGGCTGGCCTTAAACTCACAGAGATCCACCTGCCCCTGCCTCCTGAGAGCTGGGACTAAAGGGGTACACCATTACCATCCAGCAAAATAAATATATTGTTTTTAATTTTAAAAATAATACATAAGGCACTGGGCATCGTGGGGTTACCCTATCATCTCAGCACTCTGGAGCAGGAGGGCTACTTGCAATGTTTGAGGCTAGCCTGAGCAACTTAGTGAGATTCTGTCTCAAAATAAAAAATAGAAGCTGCAGATGGCTCAGAGGACCCAGGTTCGATTTCCAGAACCCACTTGGGGGGGGGGGGCTTTCAGCCATACATACATAATTCCAGTTTCAGGGGACTCAGCACCATTTTCTGGCCTCCTGGAGCGCCATGTGGAGTTCATACATAAGGAAGCCAAACACTCACATGCATTAAAAAAAAAAAAAAAATACCCGTGTCATTTTAAAATATAGCAATAAGGCTGGAGACCTAGCTCCGTGGTAGAGCACTCGCCTCCTGGGAAAAAGTCTGTAGGATGAACCTACAAAGCCGGCCTCTCTGTTTGTGAAGCTGGCAGATGGATGAATCGCCTCAGCTGCAGAATATTCCGGAAGTGTCCTGCAGGCCAGCAACAACTAGCCAGGGGCGGTCCTGACCCATCCATCCATCAACAAAGCCTTTCTCTCCAGGACGCATAAAACACAGGATAACAGTATCTCATCCCCTGGCTCTCCCAGGCTCCCGGGTGGCCTCGCAGTTCACGCAGCCTGCACTGCCCCCTAGCGGTCAGCAAGCGGCAGGCGCCAGGTCGTCTGGCTCCTTCTGCCTTCTCAAATCCTAAGTGGTGT